AACCCTTTTGCTGTCCTCCGCTCTTTGCATCAGTGGCTTCCTAGGTTCGGGCGAGGGCATGTGTGGAGCTGAGATGTGTGTCTTCGTGAAAGAACATGTAGAGAGAGTCGTATTGGCATTCGCATCAAGCGCATTGCGCATTTTTCGAATTTTGGCCTCCTTCCAGGGACCTTGATATTTACCCGCTGGCACTGACGTCTTTTAACTGGTCAGCCGGTTAGCGCGGTCGATGCTAATAATAAACACACACACATGCCGCACTGACACTGACGCATCTTCATTGGGTATGCTTACAATAACAAAACACACAAACGTAACTCACCTTTTGATTGGAATTCATGTTCGTGATTTTATCCCGCTCCGAGACTGACTGGCCAGCCGGTTAGCGCGGTCGATGCAAACAATACAAACGCATACCTGCTAGTGCTCGTCAAGACAACACGTGCGTACCTCCTGCAAAATTGCAGCCACGGCGCCCCCGACAAAGTGCGGGTACTTGGTGGATGACAGGTCGAACCTCAGGTCGGCGTCTAGCAGGACACACAGCAGTTCGCGCAGCTCTGGCTCCACCGCCGCCACAGCCTGCAGGCCAAGTCAGATCAAAAACGACCCACAATGAAAAACAGACGAAAGCGACAGTATTGTAGTATTTTATCTTCTTGACGTAAACTTGTACTGTGATACATACCTCCATAACATGTTTGAACATCAAGCAGGGACTCTCAACGACGAGCGATTTCCGCAAGAGTCCTGGCTCGCGTGCTGCAACACGAGCGTTGCGTGCGGATACAGCATCACAGGATAAAAACTTGGGCAACTCCACAAGCGAGGCCATAAAACATACCTCAATGATACTCACCGCCTGGCACACATGATGATGACGTACCTACAACAACCCTGTACCCACAGCTGGCGGCAGCCTTGACCCAAACCCTACCCCTATCCTAACCCTAACCCTCGCAAAAACCCAAGCCTCTGGGGGCGTGCTATGACAAGCAGGTCCAATACACCGATTTCTACTGCTACTTCAACCTTCCGATAACAAGCGGGTGTGTTCACGACTAACCCTTGCCTCCTGGGGCGTGCTACCCCAGGTAGGTCCTATACACAAGAGTTCGCTGCCAATCAACCCCCCGATAACATGTATGTGTGTTCATGACTAACTTGAACCTCTCAGGCGAGCTACGACATCCTGCACACCGAGTTCTACTGCAACATCAAAAACTTCCGAAAAAAATAGGCGCGTGCTTGAGCACGACGGCGATATCCTACCTCGCTTTCCCAGTCCAAGAGCGGAGCCAGCTGCTCGAGTAGCACCCCCATGTTCTCGATGCGCCTACTGGCGGTCCCCGCCCCAGCCCCCGCCCCGCCGCCCCCGGGGTTTCCGCTCCCGTCCGCGGTGTTCTGGCCCTGGGGTTCGTCACGCCTCGCCCTGCACCAGTCCCGCTCAAGTAGACCGGAAAACTCTAGCAGGAGACGCACGATAGACCCTTGCTCTTCTTCGGGCCTAAAGACAGCATGGTGATATGTGGGTGTGTGTGTAAAAAGGGGGGCGCGGGTTGCTCATGTTTTGCATGCCTTGGCGGTTAGACCAATGAAAACGCGTCCTCGAGAGGACGAACAAGGTAGCGGGAGATGCAGGTGTTGTGAATGGGGTGTGGAGTGACGCTTGTGTTTTCGCGGTCATCGAACCCACCCCCCAATAGTATACCCC